GTTGATCATTGGAGTTTGCTGTAGGATTTTTATTGCTTCGTGAATTTGAAGAGTTGTGAAGTCGTTAAATCGGCGGTTTACTTTTGTGTTTTTTACTATGTCCTGACGTGTGATTTTTTGGTTGTGGATGCGGGCACAGTGTTCTTTGATGGCTCCATTTTGTAAGTGCATTGTTAGGCGTCTTGACAGGGTTGTGGTAGTCATTCCGATGTAGGAGGCGTTTATATATATACACACACACACACACACATAAATACACATTAGTAACACATACCTAAAACTCATAACATTAAAAATAATCAGTTTTACAATGTGAAAATGATCGCACAAAACTGTGACGAAACTTATAATCATACTTAAAGTAATACAAATTAAGTCATGACATTCTATTAATGCCTCAACTATTATTGATACTATGTTTTATATATATATAATAATGGGGAGTTATGTTTGGTTTATAAAAAAATCTGTTTTATTTTCAGTTACACAAGTTTACTTTTACCTTTAGTAATAACTATATAACAAATTTCGATTTCACTACAAAATTATGACTGTTGGTACTCACTTTTCAGAGTTATGAAAAAAGTCACAGAAGACTGTTCTCAAACTACCTTTCTTTTCTCTACTGTATACTATTTCTTGGTCCTAAGATGTTGGAACAAATAGTTTTTAGATATAAATCTAAATCCACACTAGAAAACTAAAACACATGTTTATGGTAATTGTTTTTATGATTTTTAAAAAATATTTGTATACACATATACAAGTTAAAATTAAAATACATTTTTGAAATTTGTGTCTGGTTTAGGTACTAGGTCCACCGAGAATGAAATTCTGCTATCAGTAGGCTTTGTCTGTCACTTGCTTTTTATTGTTTTTATACAAAACTATACACAGAGCTATCTAAGCATAGCCATTCCTAATTTTTGAACTGATGGAACAGACGAAAAGCAGCTAGTAAAGAACACCCATCACAAACTCTTTGGCTACTCTTGTTTGATTAAATAGTGGTATTTCACCATCGCTCTTATAGAACACCTTCAACCCAAAAGTGCAGAATACATTTTTGCAACAGCGAGATGCAAACTGCGAGTCCTCAAATCTACAGTATAAACATGCTAACCACTAGGCCATGCTTGGCCCCTAGTGAGGGTAATCAGCATTCAAATCAAAATTGTTCGTATAAATGGTCGATTATGGAAAACCGAGTACAATTCCTTGTACATTTAATGTATATATATATATATATCTTCTTAATCTAAATATAATAGCATGGCATATACAACTTGGAGGAAGGCCATGCATAATGTATAAAATTTAAAGTTAGACAATTGTACTTGAAAAGTAATGTCATATTTGTAACCATTACTAAACTGGTAGTTATTTTATGATACAACTCAAATAATACATAAATAGCCCATGATATAAGGATAGGTGGTTATAAATCATCATAATGCTTTTTTAGGTATGTTTCACAAATATTATAAAATTGGATCATAACAAAAAATATATGATAATGCAGGCCTGAAAATTTAAACTTTATAATTCTGCTATGCAAATTTCAAAAATAATATTCATTTTTTTTTTATATCACACAAGGATTTTTTACATATTGGGAAGAAAAAAAAAACTCTTACTTAGATCAAATTTACAACAAATAT